AGAGTTATGAACACACTGTGGCGAGTGTGTAATGAGGTTGCTTATGCACGCGCATGGCTGAGCACGTGCCTGGGTTCAAACCCCAACAGCAGCAGTTGCATCCCTGATCTTGATAATATAAATCCGAGAGCGGGGCGGGGCAGCGTGGGCGCATGGCGCGTGTGAGGCGGCCTTGGCCTTGGCGTTGTGATGCGGCTTCCTTTTTCGCCACGTGGAGCTCTCCTGCTGCACCACCTTTTTTCGTTGTTTTTCCCGCTTTTTTGCCCGAAAACGCCCCAAAAACAGCCGAAAACCCAACTGTCGGGTTTTGCCGTATTTCGCTGCTGTGCGGTGTGGTGGGTGGGGGTGGGGACCATTCCCGCTCCGATACCAATGTAGCGGACCCACCAGGTGTGGTGCTCCGCTAGTGACAGAGATGGAGATGGAGGAAGAAGGGGGAGCAAGATGGCACAACGCAGCTCCCCACGCAAGAATCCAACGCGCATACTCCAAAATGTGCGAGTGAGGAATGAGACTGAAAACAGACAATGGCTGGGGTATACCCCAGCGGACTGACGGGACTGGACTGGACTGGCTGGTACCGATAGAGGTACCGGCCTGGACTGGCCTACCCCGAATATAACACAGGCCTGTGAGAACAGGCCAAGGGGCTGGTCTCACAGGCCAACCCGAGGTCCGCTACAAGGAAGGTATATTCGTTATGTACACACATCGGACAGGCTAATGTTGGGCTTGAAAACTTGCCCATAGGGATTCCTAAAGTCTGCCTGAGAACAACTCCTCCCGCCATAGTGAACGTATTATCTAAGTGAAATTGAATAAACCTAACCAACACAGAAAACCTGACAGATTTAAACCCAACCTCACTAACAGCAATCTTAGATGGCCTGACCAATTTCTTCCGTGGGTGTACCAAACACTTATAATATCCCTTTTCCTCGGACATGCTAATGTCCCAGTCGACCGCTGCTATGATAGCAAAGTGGGGAAGCTGGCAAAACATCTCCTTGACGTCAAAACTTCCTGCCAGCAGACCCTCATCAGTGCCAATATCCTTGTTAACCTTCCCTAAAAATAACGGCAGAAGATCCGTACTATGTAGATTAAAATGACTGCAAGCTGGAAGACGCTTCAGAAATTCGTTCACACAGGATGAGACAACCTTAGCAGCCTTACGTGTTGGTTCATACCAAGAAGGACAAATCGGTCTCCACTTATTCACATCTTTGTGTTTCGGAATACCATAGGACCTACCTAACTTACCATTTGATGCCGAAGGGGCAATCTGCGTAAACTTACTAGCTCTGTAAGATTCTCTGTATTTAGCTAATACGTTAATTTCGTCATCCTCAACCCTTTGCAAACCCAGATTCTCAGTAAACAACTTCACCATTCCTCGCGCATATATAACTGGACAACAAGCATAGGTGTCCCCCATATTATGATCCAGGGGGCACAACACCAATCCTTCAAAAAGCTTCCTAACATCGGAAATGTCATTCTCTACCACATGCTTCAGCAAAACCCTGTTATTAAACAGGCACTCCCGCAGATCCTGCCTGGGAATGTCAACAGTTGATCCGAAGAAGTTACCTACGGAGCACACAATCTGCTTACCAAGACTAAAGGTACTGACAGGGTAATTAGGGGAAACGACATCTTTAGAGTTCAGCAGAAAGCTAGATAGGGAGGAAGAAAGGTGACTAAATATAAAAGAAACATGCCCATCGCAGCGAGGAAAGACAGAATCCATCTCCAAACATGAGCACTCTGAGCTAATGACATTAGCATACTTACGGAAATTATGAATCAAATCCCCAACACACTTATTTTTCACCCAAACCAACCTAAGACGGCGGCAGACAAGCGCCAAGTATGACGGGGGGAATTTTAGCCCTCGAATGATCCTCTTGCACAGTTCCCTAACCTTACCCTTAACTAGCCTATCATCATACCTAATCCTAATAGTCAATCTAGCTGAGAGGCAAAGAGAGAACTTCTTTCGGCAAGCAAGAGCAAGAATAAGCCTTAGGGAGGAGCGAGATCTTTTATTATTAATAGTACGTACTGCATCATAAAGACGGATAAAAGTGTCAAGATCCGAGTGTAGCAACTCTTTCCTGAAAGAGGGGATACTAAGTAGTTTAATCAGCGTAGTTTTTAAGGGTAGAGAGCGAGAACAAAGACGAGAGACTGTGTGAAAGGAGATGGAGGCATTTTGCTTAAACCAAGATCGACAATTTTTCAAGAGTGAAGTTGGAAGACCAGCGGCGGAGATAGTAGAAGAGTCGAACAACCTCCTAATAAGCTTCCATTTTTCGGAGAAAACAGAACCGGAAGAAATACTGACAGAGAAAGGAAGAGGAATCTTGCTATCCAATGCTTTTTGCATAATGGAGATAAGACTAACGGAAACATAGCCAAATGAAGAAAGGAATTTGAACGGAATCAGATCCTTCCGACCTGCCGACGGGGTATGCTTACATGTACTCTTTCTCAGCCTTTCCTTCCTGCCGGGACGATTTACCCTAGCATGACGTTTTTTCCTGAAAAAAGAAGAATTAAGGGCAGGGCTAATAGAATTAATAAAAAAAAATTCTGACCCCAATAAATCCGCCCGACCCACAACGAAAATCGGAATAGCTACGTAATTATGAGCCCCAACCCTACGCAACCATCGATATAGTTTCCTATTGTTCTTAGTCTTCCCATGGGGTGCGGATGAAGCAAGGTGTTCCTTCCATCGACAGCCCAGAGACCTAGAGGTACAACCTATGTAAATATGACGGAACCAGGGGGATACTAAGGCATAAACCACGGGACCCGGACATCGAGTAAAATCATAGCCATTCCTCAGAAAAATAGACAAGAGATTAATAAACTTACTACACCAAGGGACCTCACCTCGGACAATAAGCAGAATTACGGTTAAACGAAGAATAACTTAAAGCTTAGCCGCGGGAAGCTCATCACGGAAATCCCTGCAGAAGCGAGCTAACTCTCAAAGATTGGACGCGCTCAGGAAGTGTCCTCACCCCTCGTGAACGTCTTCTGTGGAGGTAGCGTAGCTCTGCTCAGGATCGTCCTCGTCTTTATCCGGCTCCGACCCTTCTTTCCGATCCCTGTCTTTAAGCCAGCCGTCAAAGTCCCGTCTGGCTCTGATCTCAGCGACGTCCGTCCTTGCTTGGTCCAATTTGATGTAGCTGATTCCCTCCTCCGCACATGCAATCTCCATATCCGCCTTCCTTGCCTGACGCATCTCCTTCATCCGTACCTCCCGGAATTTGTTCATCCGGGTTTCCTCCAAATCATGCGCAACTTCCACAATGGGCCGCGTCTTTGCCTTGCCTGCTACCAAGCCCCCTTCCTGTTCCTCTTCCTCCTCGTCCGATCCAACCTCCACCGCCTGGAAGCTAGTTCTCAAATTCCTAGGCGTGGTCTTCCTAGCTAAAGCCTTCCTTGCTGTAAGCTGAATACGGGAGACACCCATCCTTGCCATCCGTTCCTTTGCCATCTCAGCCTCTCTTAACGCCATCTCCTTCGCGGCCAGTGCCTGCTTATACGATTTTTGCAGCGCTTCTAGATCCTTAGGGGTGTACATAGCAGTAGATTTTGAATCCGCTTTCTGCTTCCCCTTTGCTGGCTCCTCAAGAGGGCTGCTCTCAGTGACAACGGGCGCGTCCCTCTTCCCCCGTATCAGTACCACTTCTTCTCGTAATTCCCGAAACTCCTTCCTCAGATAACTGTTTTCCGTCTTCAAGGATGATAGCTCTGCGTTCTTTTCTTCTAGCGCAGATCTGATCGTGTTGAGTTCCTGAATTTGTAGTTGCATGGCCAGCAACCCATCCTCCTTTCCCACATCGTGACTCCCTTTCCCTTTTTCCTGTCGGCTTTTCAACTCGGCAATCTCCTGTCGGAGACGCTCCTGCTCACTCTCTAAATCCTTCTTCTTGAGTAGAGCTTCCTTCTCCCTTCTTAAAGAATCAATCCTAGATTCATTAACTCCCCCGGCCGTCTGAGCTCTCAGAGCCTCTTAACTCCTTCCTAAGCTTGACAACCTCCTCGTCCTCGTCCTCGGGAATATCGACCTTCCGCCCCAAGGCCGATTCACACACCGCCTTCACACTGCTACGTACGATATGGCCCAGTCTAGCCTCCTGCTGCTCCCGGTCTTTAGCAGCTTGGATCCATTTGTCTTCTTCCGCCTGAAGCCTCTTCTTCTCTTCCTGAAGAAGCTCAAGCTTAGCGGCCTCGTGCTTCTGCTTTTCCTGCTCCTCAATTTGCTCAGACATCARCGCATATAACCTATCAATCTTCTCATCCCTGTCACGCTCCCGGTCTCGATAACCACCATTCCAGGGTCTCGAATAACGCTGCCCGCCATTGTCCTGCCCACCGTTGTAATTGCTGTTAGCATATCCCTTGTTCTGCGGCGCAACGTATGGTACGATCGCGTTCGAAGAACTAGGCGCTGGCAGCAACCCGCCCCCATCACTCCTTCCGCCTCCTCCCAATGATCCCTGAATGCGCGCAGCCATCTCGGCGCCGTTAGGCTGTCCTCGAAAAGGACACTCTCTGATGAAATGACCCGGAAGCTTACAAAAATGACAAGTGTCGTATCCAGCCATGTCTCGTAATAACCAAGGGACTATCCCGTCCCTACATAACCCTTCAATAGGCACCGTACTATCAGGGTCCGTGTTAATAGTAACGAGGGAAAGAAAAAAAAAAATGAAACAGAAAGAAGAAGAAAGAAGAAAGAAGCACAATCGAAAAGAAGAGGAATAGGAATAAGAATGAACGAACACAATCACTCGCACGAGGTAAAAATCCCCCGCCGGTTAGTTGTGTGTATGTCGCAGTAGAGTTAAACTCCAAGCAACATTGAGCCAAGTGAGAAACACATGAGGCCATTCATTCAGAGAAAGGGTGAGATGAAAAAGACAAGACTGAGATAGAAAGGAAGACGAGAGAATAAAGCAAAGTCCCCCGAGCGCGTTCAGCTCGTAAAAAGTTCAATGACAGCTGAAAACAGTGAAGATGATGACGTAAAGGCCGTAAAGGCACAAAATGCCATAGCGTGCTGCTCAGTCTGGTGATCACCCTACGCGTTTCGGCCGGTCTGCCAGTGTACCGGCCATCATCAGGGGTGGCGCTTTGGAAATAGAACTGAAAAAACTTTCCTAAATAGTAGCCACCTACGTACTAAAGCAGAGCACATCGGACGCGTAGCCCGTTCAAACTCAGCCCACCAGGCAAAAGACCAAAGGCCTATAAAAAGATAGACCCCGAATAGAAAAAATAAAGCCTAAACTATCCAACCCGTAAAACATCGGACCCAACCAGACCAAACCCCTCCTATTTTGATATTAAAGGCCTCGAGTGCCTTGTCAAAGATACTATCCGGAAAATCCCTGGCCCGAAGTTCCATTTTGAGGCTGAAAAGGAAGGCCGCCTCTGTGGCCGGCAGTGTGCCCATGTTATATGCCCTCTGGAGGTGAGCATACTGAAAATTATCTGTGAAACGTTATTAACCCGGGCCCCCCTTCCCCCCCGGCCTGACTAAACCTTCATATTCATTTCACTTTCCCCCCAAACGGGGCAAAATGTGCTGCTGGCCCCAAAATGACTTTCGGGAAGTTTTGGCATCAGTTTTACCGTCCCAGCCAGGGTGCAAAAATGACACGAAAAGTCCAAAATGACTTTTGGCATCAATTTTGCAGCACGGTGACCCTGTAAAACACTCTCCTGCCATTTCTGCACAGCAGGCGTTACTGTATCAGCCGGGGTGCAAAAATCACACGAAAAGTCATTTTGTGGCCTGCACACTTTTTGTCTTCAAGTTGTTCCTGTTTGGGGGGAAACGAATACAAAGGTTTTGTAGGGCGGCGGGCAGGTCTTATATTAACTTTTTCCGAACCATCCGGCCTCCACTGAAAGAACGGAAAATTTTAAACTGAAATAGTGACTGTGCCCTAGTTAAACCCCCCCCCCCCCCCCCCCCCCCCC